TAGATGTTATTTTAATAAAGTTGTTGCCTTTTTAACTAAGTGTTGTAAGTTTTTTGACTAAGTGTAAGGCGTATTCGGGGGTTGTTTTGAATTTTCGCCTTTGAAACGCCCTTTTTTGACTAAGTTTAGGGCGTATTCGGTTTGGCTCTAACTCCCAACCTACGAGTTCAAATTACGTTCCATCAATTCTCACAAGTCCTGTTTGTCATGGGGGAACTGTCCGTGTGAGCCACACAGTGGTTCGGGGGCTATTATGAATTTTCGCCCCCGAAATGCCATTTTCCGACTAAGTTTAGGGCATTTTCGGCTTATCATGGCGAAGCTATACCGTGCGAGCCACACGGTCGTTTGGGGGCTGTTTTGAATTTTCGCCCTCGGAAAGCTCTTTTTCGACTAAGTTTAGAGCATATTCGGCTCTAACTCCCAACCTACGGTTCCGAATTAAGTTCCGTCAGTTCTCACAAGTCCTATTTGTCATGGGGGAACTGTCCGTGTAAGCCACACGGTGGTTTAGGGGCTGCTATGAATTTTCGCCCCCGGAAAGTCCTTTTTCGACTAAGTTTAGGGCGTATTCGGCTCTAACTCCCAACCTACGGGTCTGGTTTACGTTCCGTCAGTTGTCACAAGTCCTATTTGTCATGGGGGAACTGTCTGTGCCAGCCACACGGTGGTTTGGGGGCTGTTTTGAATTTTCGGCCCCGGAACGCCCTTTTTCGACTAAGTTTAGGGCGTACTCGGCTCTAACTACCAACCTACGGGTCTGAATTACGTGCCGTCAGTTCTCACAAGTCCTATTTGTCATGGCAAAGCAATCTATACGAGCCACACGATCGTTCGGGGGCTGTTTTGAATTTTCGCCCACACACGACCCTTTTTCAACTAAGTTTAGGGCGTATTCGGCTCTAACTCCCAACCTACGAGTCTGAATTACATTCCGTCAGTTCTCATAAGTCCTATTTGTCATGGGGGAACTGTCCGTGTGAGCCACACAGTGGTTCAAGGGCTGTTATGAATTTTCGCCCCCGGAAAGTCATTTTTTGACTAAGTTTAGGACGTATTCGGCTCTAACTCCCAACCTACGGGTCCGGATTACGTTCCGTCAGTTGTCATAAGTCCTATTTGTCATGGGGGAATTGTCCGTGTGAGCCACATGATGGTTCGGGAGCTGTTATGATTTTCCCCCCCGGAAAGTCCTTTTTCGACTAAGTTTAGGGCGTATTCGGCTCTATCTCCCAACCTACGGGTCCGGTTTACGTTCTGTCAGTTGTCACTAGTCCTATTTGTCATGGTGAAGCTATCCGTGCGAGCCACATGGTCGTTCGGGGGCTGTTTTGAATTTTCCCGAAATGCCCTTTTTCGACTAAGTTTAGGGCGCATTCGGCTCTAACTCCCAACCTATGGGTCCGAATTACATTCCGTCAATTCTCACAAGTCCTATTTGTCATGGGGGAACTGTTCGTGTGAGCCACACGGTGGTTCGGGGGCTGTTATGAATTTTCGCCCCTGAAAAGTCCTTTTTCGACTAAGTTTAGGGCGTATTCGGCTCTAACTCCCAACCTATGGGTCCGGTTTACGTTTCGTCAGTTGTCACAATTCCTATTTGTCATAGAGGAATTGTCCGTGTGAGTCACACAGTGGTTCGAGGGCTGTTTTGAATTTTCGCTCCCGAAACGCTCTTTTTCGACTAAGTTTAGGACGTACTCGGCTCTAACTCCCAACCTACAGGTCCGAATTACGTTCCATCAGTTCTCACAAGTCCTATTTGTCATGGCGAAGCTATTCGTGTGAGCCACAAGGTCGTTCGGGAGCTGTTTTGAATTTTCGCCCCCGAAACGCCCTTTTTCGACTAAGTTTAGGACATATTCGGCTCTAACTCCCAACTTACGGGTCCGAATTACGTTCCGTCAGTTATCACAAGTCCTAGTTGTCACGGCAAAGCTATCCGTGTGAGCCACACGGTAGTTCGGGGGCTGTTTTGAATTTTCGCCCCCCGAAACGCCCTTTTTCGACTAAGTTTAGGGCTATTCGACTCTATCTCCCAACCTACAGGTCCGAATTACATTCCATCAGTTGTCACAAGTCTTATTTGTCATCGGAAAGCTGTCCGTGAGAGCCACACAGTGGTTCGAGGGCTATTTTGAATTTTCTCTCCTGAAAGCCCTATTTCGACTAAGTTTAGGCCGTATTCAGCTATAACTATGGTAAAGCCGTAAACATTCCTAGTGGGCTGATTGAGTGCCAAATGAGAAGTTAATGTATGTGAAATCTGATTCAGAATTTCTGAAAGAAAATTTTCATTCTCCAAGTTAAGGGAGCTCCTAGTTGGTAAATTTTCATTCCCCAAGTTAAGCCCTATTTTCATTCTCCAAGCTATAGAGGAAGAGCACCACATAAACAGACAGCTAAATGATTTCTTATCAAAAAGTTGGCTAACATAAAGTAAAAAGTGATTTTAGTTCAAATAAGAATCTTAAAGGAATTACAAAAATAACCAAAACTGACCCAAAAACGCTAAAGAGAGTTGTCAAAGTAAATAGATAAGTTTGAGTAAAAATGAACACATACACGCGCGCACAGATTAACTACATGGACCAAACACATGACAAAGTACATAAACTATCTTAAAAGGCTTCAAAATTGCATATGGTTTATGAAAGATTAATCACAATGACCAAACATGTGACGAAGTATCACATAAACTAAATAGCCAATAACAACTATCTTCATTTTCATTTCTCCTTCAGAATGTTTAAGATGATGCAGTTGAAACTTACATTAAGTGACCAAAGTATAAGGTTCTTTCTGTGCCAGTAATGTTGATTTCCAGTTCCACAACAAAAACTCATCTCTAAACCATAAGGATGCTCGACCTCCTAATACTTACATTGCTATGATTAATAACAAAAAATTACCAAAAAGATGTATAATTATCTGCACAAAAATAAGGAAAAGATTTTCCCACCTTTATATTTGAATAAGGCAACTTTGTGTCAATTTTGATCAAATTGATAACACCGATTACATTTTAATCAATCGAAAATCCCTAACAACTTAATCAATGAGACAAAATCATGAATCCTGAGTCAATTGAGCCAATTGAAATTATAAAGATTGAAATTTTAAATATCAAAATGACATAAGGACCAAAATATAAAAAATATCAACGTAATTTACATAGTTAAGTATTATTATAACTTTAGAGGAATACTCAAATATTTCATCAATATACTTGAGATAAATATAAAACTACTATTTTCATGTGCTTTTTCCTATCCTAATCATAATTTAATATGCATTAACATATTAATGCGTATATTTAAAGTGTTTTTGAATAAAAGACTTGTAGGAAGAGTTAGATTAAAGATTTGAAGAAGAATTTGGGAGGCAAGGACAAATTGTCACAGAACATTTTTTAGGATACACCCAAGGTTCTGAAAAGCAGTTACGGTCGTTGTAAAGGTGGCGGTGGCGCGGTTGCGGGGTGTAAAGGCCGTAGCGTAACGGTTGCGGTAACCGGAACCGTGAATTTTTTTATTTTTCGCATAATTTGAAAAAAAACTTACCGATACGCATATTTTTTTTCCCATGATCATATTTATTGGGTTAAAAATAAATATTGATCAATTTTTGTAAATTTTTAAGTATGTTCCAATATATTTCATATTTTTAAATCACTGTAAACTCAATTTTTTACATTTTATTTTAATAATTAATGACTTTATATTATACAAAAAATCAATCACTAACTATTATATATAAGATAAACAATGACAAAAGTAAGATAATAAATAAGAGCCTAAATATATGTATATATATATGTACATATTTTAACAAAGCCAAATAGATAATGACCACACTTATTATTATTATTATTATTATTATTTTCAAACAATATATAGATAGACACACATAAACAAAATGATTGAGTGATAGCAGCTGGATAGAATAGCATAGGTCTTACAGCTTCAACAAATCAATAACATGTTCTTCATTTTCCCTCCTCTCTCTCTATCTCTTGCTCCTCTATTTTCTCTCTCTATCTTCCCTCTTCTCTCTATCCCTCTTCCTCCATTTTCAGCTTTTTCTTGTGTGTTTTTTCGAAAGAAACAGTTTGGAACCGTTACGTAACGGGGCGTAACAATTCGTTACGGCTATTACGGTGCCGTTACGGCAATTACGACACCGTTACGACCAATATGGCAGCCGCTACGGCTGATACACTTGTGAATCTCAATCACACTGCAAAAGCGGCCGTAACGGGTAGCGGTAACCTCCAAAACCGTTATGTAACAGCGTTACGTAACGGTTGCGGCCGCTTTTTAAAACCTTGGATACACCTTATGTTACACGGACTCTTCTATTTCCCCCAGAGTACCCGTGTCCATCGAATATGACAAGGGTAAGGGTGTGAGATATGTGTCCGACGCTCATACCCAATTTAGACACTCGAATCCTTTAATTTGTGACAATACATGAAGAAGAAGAAACTCATATTTGTTAGTAAAGCAATATTTTTAGGCTAATAGATGAATTAGATATAAAAATTTCATATTTTTTCTTAATCATATTTAATTTTAATATATTTCTACATAATTTAAAACATCTCATCCGAAAATATTATATAATATGCAATATATATGTGCATATGACGTGTCCCTGTACCCATATCCAATTTTGGATACATACCCCAAGATCTTAAGATTTAAATTTATGAAGGTCTGACGCTTGGATACACACCCGCACCCGACACTCATACCCGAGTCCATGTAACATATACACCACATCCACATATAATATATTAACATTGTTTTACCCCAAACATTGCAACTGTCAGTTTACAAAGACAAAATCCAACAACAGCAACACAGTCAACATTTTTTTTAACAACAACAAAAGAAAGATTTTATTAAGATAGAAAAGAGAAGAAAAATACACAAAAGGAGGACAAGCAACACACAGTCAACATTGCCCAGTAAAAAAATTAACGAGGATAGAGGATCTTACTTGACAGCCCCATAACCAACTGCCTCAGCTGTTTGATCAAGCTCCGCCTCTGTCCATTCATCAGCTTTACCTGATCAAGATTTGAAGAGATTATATCAAAACTTCAGTTTTAACTAACGTATCAAAAAGATGAGATGCTATGTCATGCATGAGTTCATAGATATGAGGAACATAAAAAGCACTACCTTGCTATAGGAAAACAACTAGAGTGCAGATCATTCATTATTATACCTCGTTCTACAATAGTTGCTTTACAGCGACTCTTTACTTCATCCAACAAATCAATTAATCGAACCACTTCAATACTGCGAGTTCGAAATCGTTTCCCATCCTTTCCAAGAACAAGACCAAAACCCACATGGTTAGTTTTATGATACATATTCTCACCAGCTGGAAGCCAACCAGTACGTTTCGCAGCCTAATAGAAGGAGAGATAGAAAGGAAGGCCGTCAAACTCACAGTGGTATGTTACCCATCTCTCTACAAAGCATGAAAAGTGATGAAGCACTGGACATGACATTTGATACTTACAGTGAAAAACATTTCAAAGTGCTCTCGCTGGCCAACATCAGTTACATAGATTATCCATTCAGCTTTTTCTTCATTAAGACGATACCTAATTATTGAAAGCAGCTGGTTTAACTGAAATGCACTCATTCCGCTACCACTCCAACAAAAGGTGCACAAGCAATGCATGTCCAACCATGATATTTAAGTTCAAATAGCAGCCACATATTACCCAGGTAAACTTTAAAATGGGTCATAAAATTCCATCTAGCAGATCTTTTTTCAATCACATGAACTACAAGATGATTCTATCATATAATTTATGTCTTTAAAGGAAGAAACATGGAGAGTTGCATTATATAAATCATGCAGATCAGATGCTAGATTAAACATATATAAGTATAGATGCAAGAATGAATGACATATAGAAGGGTCATATAATTTACACTTTAATCAACTCCAAATTTTAAAACACTAACCAAAGAGCCGCAAGATCAGTGGAAGCATAGTTGAAACCACCGTCCTTCTTCACAACAATTAAAGGTATATTTTTCCCCTCAATAAAGATCACACGAGCACCTTCACTTTCTTCAATTAATCCTTTCTTATCCAATTCCTCTAAAACTCCAGGTATATATGGATTGTAAAAGCTTTCTCCTTGACGGGAAGGCAAAAAACAAAATAATTGCAAGTGATTTTGCCACTCAATCATAGGAACAGTTGATTTCATGAGTACGATATGTTCATTACTCATATGAAATTCAAATAAGGGCAAATCATGCCACCATCTGACACTCCCTGCAACTTCACTTCCAAATAGGGTTTAAATAGCGTGTGTAACAATAATCAAATTTAGGAATAAGCATAATGTAAGACTTATGAGAAAGAGAGAGAGAGAGAGTTGCTATATATCACAAAAAGTGTTCACCCCCTATGTGTTTCCCATGTGTCATGGTAAGTCCCACTATTTTTTAATATGGTGGATCCTACACATATACTACACATACACACTGCTTTTATTGCATGGAAAACATGGGAAGTGAAATAAAATGGTGAAAAAAGAATCTGGTAATAAATAGCATTTCTCTATCAGAAAACATTAAATATATAGATATATGCCATTATAGTGCACTGTTCTGCTGAACACTTGACCTGTATCAGATGTGAAGCAGAAGAATTTCTCAGTGTCAGACAATATCACTAGGCAAACACACAACTTTGACTTCGTACTGATGAGACATTTTATGGTTAACATAACCACAAATCAGCATTAACCAACTTAGTCACTCTAGCCTGAACATGTACTGATGCATTCCTCACTCCCTACACATCTACCATTAAAGAATGAGAATCCAATAATTATATATATATATATATATATATGTATATGCATAACATTTTCCATCAAGTTTCAATTTTTCAATTGTTCAAAATCCATTGTAAAAGAATCATCGTCTAAAACACCAAATGCCACCTCAAACCATCACCTATCTATATCTTTACTTTTAATTTTCCTGATTGAAACTAGCATATAAAATACTAGTTCTATGGAATTGAGTAATTTGCTTGAGTCCAAAATAAAAAAGAATAAACAATGATAAGTTACATTTATGGGACTCTGGCCTCCCATACTAGCATGTACCATACTAATGTCCTCATTGCATATGCAATAATGTAATTCAACTAAGATTCATAGTCTAGTCTTGCCACAGTTCTTGTGCCCACTAATTTAAAGTAATCTTTTAGTTATTACAGCTATACAAGAAGTAACTAAGATGACGAAATAACAATGTTTTGCCCTTGTAGAATTGTGATCTTAGATATCAAGCTACCATCAGTTCAAGTAGTCATACAAAATGGCCAACCTGATAACATCAGTCAAAATATAAAGTGACAATGACTTAAAGCAGATACATTTGAATCGGATGAAATATACAATTGGTGGGGGAGGGGGCTGTGAACCATAAACCAAGAATGTTCTATTTTTAGCCAGCACGCTATAGATTGAAATTAGAAGTTGGTGTCTTTTTTATGTGGCTCCATGGCGCATAAAACAGGTGTGGAAAATACAATCAATGTTTGACATTGTCATTAGTTAGAAAGAAAAATATCAGTTAAGTACCTTCTCCTCTATCTTAATTCCTAGGCGTTGATAAACTCTTGGATATCCCCTTCGACTGATTTCACAGATTTGTGCCCATGCCTTTCGATACTTCTCTTCCCCACCCTGTGATACAAGTTATGCCATAGGAAATGAAACCAAATAAGATAAATGATGAAACATAATGAAACCTCGAGATAAAATCATTAACCACATTTTCTTCCAAAACGAAGAAACAAAATTTATAGTTTATAAATCAAATTTCCTCCAAAATAGAAAATTGAAATTTATAGCTTTTAAGTTCTTTTACAAATGAGAAATTTAATTATTACTATAATCAACCTCACAAGTCTTTAAGGCATAAAGGTAAGTGATTCACCTGGAGACTGACCACCGCTTGTTGCGCCCTCTCCTTGAATCCAGGATCACTGTCAAATCTTTGCTTTGATGCCTTATAGAATGCCTAATAACAACATTCAAGTTAAATCAATAATACCCACTTTCATTGAATTTCATGATTCATTTCAATGAAAAAAAATTGAATCAAAGGCATAAGTTGCTCAAAGCAGCACAAGCAACTAGGTACTTGAATTGTTTGCTAATCTAAGCAAGGGTCTTTGTTGCTTGGATGTAGCATAAAAAATATTCAAGTGACATAAAGAAGTATTCTGTCTGTACCAATTCAGGAAATGGACCTAATTTCCAAAATTTTTATCTCACCTCGAGATCTCCAATAGCTTGATCATTGACAACCTCCACGTTTGGAAATTTTTCGAAAAGAAATTCAATTAGCATACCAAACTGCAAAACATAAACAATATCTTTAAGACATAATAGGAAAGTAACAAAAAATTATCGAAATAGACTTTCATAATTCAGACAGTAAAGAGGCCATAATATTATTACCTTCTAGAGCAGCAACAATCAACAAAAAATTTAAAAGATCATAATTTTTCCACTTAATACAATTATACAAGAAGGGTCTGTTGGTGTTCCTTCTTCCACCACATATTAGGGAAGGAAAAGGCACCGAAGAACTTCAAACTACTGTTGTTCACCCAACAAATTATTTTGATCCAAATGAAAAGGTTAACTCATAAAATGGGACAACCCATGACTGAAACCCTCATCAAAAATAAATAATTTTAACAGAACTTATATAAAATTTCAAGATAAAAGAGAGAAAACAAACACACATACAGAATGCATGTGCTCACACACACACACACACACACACTTACTTGTGTACCCCAGTCACCAACATGGTTTCTCCAAAGAGCCTCAACATTTGAAAACTCTAGCATACGGGCTAGAGTGTCTCCAATAATTGTAGATCTCAAGTGGCCGACATGCATTTCTTTAGCAATGTTGGGTGAGGAAAAGTCAACCACTGCCCTTTTGACAGTAAGTTTTGGCGACCATGTTTCAACACCATTTATTAGCATCTTTTGGATGCTCTGAGTGAAGAAACCAAGATAGCTCATGATCCTATCATTCCTATCCATTGCTGTCAAAAATTAACTAATACCTTTGCTATCCAATCCTTTGATAACACAACATTCGCAAACCTAGGTCCAGTTATACTGTATTTGTCTACCATTTCTGATTTTGGTAGATTGTTCATAATGGCCTTAAAGAAGAAAAACGCACAAACTATCATTTAATAGTATCAATTCAATATTGAATACAAAAATCATAGCATTAATGATGACCTATGTTATTAGAGACAGGAAGTACAGCATAGAGAATATGGAGTGATCAATGTCAACACCTTTCCAATAGGTTGGGGACCTGTCAATTCGGAACCCTTGCCTTTTATTTTTGTCCATAAGCTCATGGCATTGTTGCTGCACCAAAAGAATGCCTTTCGATACTTCTCTTCCCCACCCTGTGATACAAGTTATGCCATAGGAAATGAAACCAAATAAGATAAATGATGAAACATAATGAAACCTCGAGATAAATCATTAACCAGATTTTCTTCCTAAACGAAGAAACAAAATTTATAGTTTATAAATCAGATTTCCTCCAAAATAGAAAATTGAAATTTACAGCTTTTAAGTTCTTTTACAAATGAGAAATTTAATTATTACTATAATCAACCTCACAAGTCTTTAAGGCATAAAGGTAAGTGATTCACCTGGAAACTGACCACCGCTTGTTGTGCCCTCTCCTTGAATCCAGGATCACCGTCAAGTCTTTGCTTTGATGCCTTATAGAATGCCTAATAACAGCATTCAAGTTAAACCAATAATACCCACTTTCACTGAATTTCATGATTCATTTCAATGAAAAAAAATTGAATCAAAGGCATAAGTTGCTCAAAGCAGCACAAGCAACTAGTTACTTGAATTGTTTGCTAATCTAAGCAAGGGTCTTTGTTGCTTGGATGTAGCATAAAAAATATTCAAGTGACATGAAGAAGTATTATGTCTGTACCAATTCAGGAAATGGACCTAATTTCCAAAATTTTTATCTCACCTCGAGATCTCCGATAGCTTGATCATTGACAACCTCCACGTTCGGAAATTTTTCGAAAAGAAATTCGATTAGCATACCAAACTGCAAAACATAAATAATATCTTTAAGACATAATAGGAAAGTAACAAAAAAATTATCGAAATAGACTTTCATAATTCAGACAGCAAAGAGGCCATAATATTATCACCTTCTAGAGCAGCAATAATCAACAAAAAATTTGAAAGAGCATAATTTTTCCACTTAATACAATTATACAAGAAGGGTCTGTTGGAGTTCCTTCTTCCACCACATATTAGGGAAGGAAAAGGCACCGAAGAACTTCAAACTACTGTTTCACCCAAGAAATTATTTTGATCCAAATGAAAAAGTTGACTCATAAAATAGGACAACCCATGACTGAAACCCTCATCAAAAAATAAATAATTTTAACAGAACTTATATAAAATTTCAAGATAAAAGAGAGAAAACAAACACACATACAGAATGCATGTGCTCACACACACACACACACACACTTACTTGTGTACCCCAGTCACCAACATGGTTTCTCCAAAGAACCTCAACATTTGAAAACTCTAGCATACGGGCTAGAGTGTCTCCAATAAATGTAGATCTCAAGTGGCCGACATGCATTTCTTTAGCAATGTTGGGTGAGGAAAAGTCAACCACTGCCCTTTTGACAGTAAGTTTTGGCGACCATGTTTCAACACCATTTATTAGCATCTTTTGGATGCTCTGAGTGAAGAAACCAAGATAGCTCATGATCCTATCATTCCTATCCATTGCTGTCAAAAATTAACTAATACCTTTGCTATCCAATCCTTTGATAACACAACATTCGCAAACCTAGGTCCAGTTATACTGTATTTGTCTACCATTTCTGATTTTGGTAGATTGTTCATAATGGCCTTAAAGAAGAAAAACGCACAAACTATCATTTAATAGTATTAATTCAATATTGAATACAAAAATCATAGCATTAATGATGACCTATGTTATTAGAGACAGGAAGTACAGTATAGAGAATATGGAGTGATCAATGTCAACACCTTTCCAATAGGTTGGGGACCTGTCAATTCGGAACCCTTGCCTTTTATTTTTGTCCATAAGCTCATGGCATTGTTGTTGCACCAAAAGAATTCCCAATTTAACAATTAAAAAAAAAAAGGCATACAAGAGTTTCCATTGCTATAAAAGCCCGAGAATTTTTAGTGGTGATCACCTCTAAAATTTGAGGATTCAACCATTCTATATCTTTTGCTGAAGTTAGGTGTGTTATAGCGATCCCGGGTTTACCCTTGTTATACCGTGATCCGGACATGTGTCCGTGGATGTTGGTAGTTGTTTATTTTCTTGTTTACATCCTTTTTACTTCGTATTTGAGTTATAGGATGTGTTGGGCGGATTTGTTTCAGGTTGGTTGAGTTTACAAACCAAAACTAGTTGCCCAGAAAACATGTCAAGTACACATAAAACTCTATAGTGCAACTCATAAACTAATAATGGGGCTTTTAGTTATGATTTAACTCAATATTCTATGGGTGCTATCCTGACTTGTAGAAACACTAACTAATAATCTAGGAAGTTCAAATTTTAATGTCTGAATGACTTTTTCAACAGCCAATTAGCTTTCAAAAAATATACTATACTTACTCATATCAAATTGCTAGTATTATTCTTAAAATAAAATACATACAACTAATTGCATTTTTTTTATTATATGTACCCTTCTTTTTTTTTCCTTTTTTTTTTGTTGAAAATTTGGTTGAAACTAAACACCATCAAGTCTGCTAAAGCAGAAAAAAATAAACCAAACAATAAAAAACAAAAATTTCTCCAAAGATTGAACTAGCAAAGAATTTGACTATGAATTCAGTAATCAATATGCACAAATTTTTAAAAGAATACTATGAACTAGCACTAGTTTTCTTTCTGGAAACAAGAACTCAAAAGAAAAATTACTAAGAATTATTGTATATAATCTGTCTATCTCCTAACAATTCATGTGTATTACATATATATACTGATAAAATTCATCACTAAATTATTGCCCCTGAATCCAAAGTCCCAGAGAGAGAGAGAGCGAGAGAGAGAAAAGAAAAACCCACCACTCAAATATCCTTGTTTTTGGCCATGTCCGGGTCTACATCTCCATCTTTAATGGCATCAAAATCAGCAACCTTTCTCCTCCGAAGATGCATCTTTACATAGAAATTAAGAAACAGCAAGAGAATGGCAGCATTGAGAACCGAATTGAAGCTCCAAGCCCCAATTCCATTACACCCACCTTTCAAAAAATGAAGCAAAAGCACACCCACATGGCACAAAACATTACAACCGAGAAGAACAATCTGACAAGTGACCACAAAGGGGAAACAAGCATCGGGCAAACCAATGGCAGTCCAAAATCTGTAGCCATAAACAAGAGAGTAAACAGAGGTGGCAAAAGATTGAGAGAATTCGAGCCAGAGGAAGGACATGAAGATGAGAATGGAGTGGTTAAAGAGGCGAAAGAAGGAGTGGTGGCGGCCGCGGAGGATGGAGAAGAAGGTGCAGAAAGTGTGAAGGAAGCAAAAGAGGTAGGACCAGAAGAAGACGCGGCCGGTGCCGAGGGGGAAACAGAGGAGCCATTGGAAAGGGATTTTGGAGCTGGCCCAGAACCAGCGGGCGTCCCAGATCTCGGAGGCGGAGGAGAAGAGGAGGCCGGTGAGCTACGGTAGCGATGTTCGACGGTGGAAGATTGACAGACACTGGTTGTGTGTGATGTTAAGATGAGGGGCGGTGGTGATTGATTCTCTGTGTGATAGAAAGAGACAGAGGGAGAGCAAGAGAGAGAAAGAACCGTGTGAAGAAGCAATAGATTTGGGCAAAAATTTAGGCGTCAATATGAAATATTTCCCAGTAAAATTTTGAACACATCTGCGACTAAATTTTAGTCGCTAAAGATAGGTTACCAAAGATAATAATAATAATAAAAAAAAATATTTGGCGACTAAAATAATTTTTTGTCGTTGAAAGTAAGTTTTTGGCGACTAAAACTTTAGTCGCCAAAGAGAAAAAATAATTTTCTTATTTTCCATTCGGCGACTAAATATTTTAGTAACCAAAAATAAATATACGGCAACTAAATTTAAATTTGTCGCCGAAAGTAAGTTTTTGGCGACTGAGAGAAAAAATAATATTTTTATTTTCCATTCGGCAACTAAATATTTTAGTAGCCAAAAGTCAATATACGTTGACAAAATTTTTTTTTTTGTCACTTTTAGTCGCCAAAGAGAAAAAATATTTTTTTTATTTTCCATTCGGCGACTAAATATTTTAGTAGCCAAAAGTCAATATACGATGACAATTTTTTTTTTTTGTCACTTTTAGTCGCCAAAGAGAAAAAATATTTTTTTTATTTCCCATTCGGCGACTAAATATTTTAGTAGCCAAAAGTCAATATACAACGACTAAGTTTTTTTTTGTCGCTAATTCTGGCATTTTTAGCGACTAAATTTTTTTTTAGTTGCCAATAATGAATATACCCCCACTAAAAAAAATTAGTAGCTAAATATTTTACTTTTGGCGACTAAAAAAAATGTTGGTCGTCAATTCCATAACTTTTGGCGACTAAATTTTTTTTAGTCGCCAATTTTGGTCACCCAAGGTGCATTTTTTTTGTAGTGTATTACTCTTTAGTTTTCTAGTGTAAAATGGTGGGGCCATGCTATTTTAGCTTGATTTATAGGAAATTTCTTTAAGCTTATATCAATCTCACCCTAAAACACTAACTTCTTTTTCCTACCGTTGTTGTGAGCTCTTAGTGCCTCTCAATCTCTATATTTTACATTATATTGATCTAACCCTAAAACCCTAACAATGACAATGATGGAGAAGAAACAAAGACGAATTGAGAGGATTGATTGTCCAAAATCTCGCAACATTTGCTTCACAAAGTGCCATCAACAGTGGTGGAGGGAAGTGAGGACCAGGGGGGTCACGTGTCCCCCTGGATCTTGGGCTACTTCTTCTTCTTCTTCTTCATCTTCTTCTTCTTTTTGTTGCAAATATAAAGAAAATATTTTAAATAAAAAAAATTATAAAAATATTATTAGAGTAAAATGTTAATGACATTTTAAAAATTATGAGAATAATAATGATTATTTTGATTGAAAATGAAGAGACTATTATAAATCATATTATCTATGAAAATTTTTGAATGTAACAGTGAGTTCATTATTATTGACATGCAAGTATAAGTAATCTCACTATAAAGATATGAAATTTATTAGATTATTAGTTACATTTGACATTTGAGGTTCACTCTCTATGTGTTTATTTACTATTAGTTGGTGATATCACATACTAATAATGACGTGGTATTACCATTATATTGAATTTTTAATCAAATTTTGTATAAAAAAATAATTTATCATTATATAATTTATTTTAAGACTTACATCTGTATTTTTTTATATTGTCCATGATACACTTGTTATAAATAACATTATTTTTTTTTTGATGTTTCTCGAAATCAATTGTAAAAACTAGCGTGAAATATTTTTGTAAAAATTTTTGATATTGTAATTAATAAGTGTCTCCTCTAATTTAATTTTCTGGCTCTGCCACTGGCCGTCAAAGCCTTTTTAAGAAAGCTGTGGAACTCTCTCGTCTCCACATCGCCGGCGTTGCTTTCTCTCCCGTCAGCACTCCTTCCGATTTGGTGGCGGCGCTTTGCAAATTGAATTGGCATCCTGTGGATGTTTCGAAGTTTAACTTGTCGGATCTGAAACAATGTGCGAGTAATTTGGAGAAATAGCAGTCCTATTTATTGATGTCTCTTGAAGAGATGAAGAGTAAGAGAGACAATTCATGGAAAGGAGATGATGAGGAAGTTGAATTCACTTCTGAGGAGCTCATGTTAGATGATTTGGATGTTGTTGTTCAGTCATCTGAAGCAACGAAAAATAATGAAGAATGTGAAGCGATGGTGAAAGAATTGCTAGTTCATGATCATGATTTGTTTACATTTCAGATGCACTTAAATGTATTTTTTAGATGCACTTAATTTAAATGTATTTTGTTTGGATTTAAATTTTTTTGTGTAGATGAAATAAACAAAGTGCTTGATAAAATGAACGATTCAAATTATCGAAACGCGGCATGTTATAGGCCTCATGGTCTAAAATAATGCTCCCTAATCCAAATTTTGAAATGGAAGGGATCTTCCTCTTAATTCGATTCCCTACTCCCTATGAAACCTCTTAAATTAGAGAGAGAAAAAAAAAAGAATCACTAATTTAGTTATTTTATATGAGAGAATTCTCTCTGATCCACTCTTAAATTAGAGAGAGAAAAAAACACAACCACTAATGTAGTTATTTTATATGAGAAAATTCTCTCTGGTCCATAATTTGAACTGAAGAGCGCTATTTAGTCTTATGAGGTCTGTCATAGATCTCGTTTTGATAATTCGAACTATTAAAGATGTTGGACATTTCATTTTTTATTTCGTGAACACAGAAAAATTATATCGATTTAATAATCATAACCTATTTAATTTATAGCATTTGTCATAACGAAAAGAAAAGGACAATTGTAATCTATTCAATTTAAATTAATTTTACAAACCTGTATCTCAGCTCTCCGAAAGCAAGCTATGCTCCTTCCTCATGCTTCAATGCGTAATAGTAGAGTACATAATATTTTAATTATTAAAGTATTTGTAATAAGTGAAACATTATTATATATTTTTATGTATGTTGGAAAGTTATATTTGAGGACTTTTTAATGCAATTTTATTTTATAAAAATTAGTTTGCTCACATTTAAAATATATACAATTTTATTTTTATATATATTTTATAAAAATTAGTTTGCTCGCATTTAAACCATCATCAGCAACAAGCATTCCAACAGAAAACCAACAACCAACCAGCAACCGACCAACAACACAAGTGCACTAGAAAACCAGTTGTAGTAGCTCGAGTTTACAATGGTTGTGATGGATTTAGTGTGTGTTGTTGGAGAGAAGGAAAGAGAGATTTTCAAAACAGACTATATAAGAGAGAGTTGTCGCCATCTCCTCCCTACTCTAGGTTTTGCTCCCACTGTGAAATGTGGTGGTGTTGCCAATGGAGAAGGAACGGGAGGAAGATGGAAGAAAATAGTCGAAGATAAGGGGTTGTTTGCTTGTTATGCTAATATTAATGTGACTTGTTTGGTTGCAAGGATAGATTCAGTTTTTTTTTGGGTCAAAGATAGAATGTCAGTATGTTAGTAAAATTAGATTGAAGTTAGGAGAAAAGAAAGTCGTAGGAATGTGATGCTTGGGGAAAAGGGAGCTGCTACACCTGTGGAAAACTCAGCCATGATTGCATCAGATGCAAGTGCAAACACGATTTTTAAACCATGGAAGAATGAAAAATCTCGAGTATGGTGTGATTATTGCAATAAACCACGCCATGCTCGAGAAAACTGCTAGAAGATCCTTGGAAAGCCTGCAACTTGGAAGAGCTGCAAATCAAGTGACAAACCAATTCCTCCTATTCCAATGAGGTTGAAGTAAGTCTGTTTAGTAAGGAGGAGATGGATTATCTTCTTAAACTGCTAAAATCCAATTCTTTATCCAGCACTCCTAGTAACTCTTGCACAGATAGGTAGCAATCCTTATGGCTCTATCTTGTCGTCAAAATTCTGTCACTTGGATCATTGATTCGGAGGCATCTGATCACATGACTTCTCTCTCTTCTTTATTCAATACTTATTTATTTTGTTTTGAAAGTGAAAGAGTTATTGCTGATGGCAATTTCTCACCCATTGTAGGAAAAGAAGCTTGGTATAGATAAAGTCTGCAAATTAAACAAGTCTCTATACGGCCTCAAACAATCCCCAAGGGCGTGGTTTGAACGCTTTGGGAAGGTTGTAAAAAACCTTGGATACAGTTAAAGCCAAGCAGACCATACTATGTTCTATAAACACTCAAGAGAAGGTAAAGTAGCTATCTTGATTGTTTATGTAGATGACATAATTCTAACAAGTAATGATAGTGCCGAATCGGAAAAGTTAAAGGAAGGACTTGCTAAAGATTTCGAGGTAAAGGTCCTAGAGCACTAAGATACTTTCTTGGAATGGAGTTCGCTAGATCTAAGGAGGGCATTTTTGTCACTCAGCGCAAGTACACAATTGACTTGCACAAAAAAACAGGCTTGCTCAGATGTAAAGCTGCTGAAACACCAACCGAGCTCAACTTAAAGCTACAACATGCTAGAATTGAAGATGTGGTGAATATAGACCAGTTTCAGAGACTTGTTGGAAGACTGGTATACTAATCTCACACACGTCTCGACATAGCATTCGCAGTAAGCAGAGTAAGCCAATTCATGCATTCACCAGGAAAAGAGCACTTTGAAGAAGCATACAGGATCCTAAGGTATCTAAAGGGAACTCCTGATAAAGGCTTGATATTTAAAAAACAAGGACATCTTCAAGTGGAAGTACAAACAGATGCAGATTGGGCTGGAGGCATCACTAACCGAAAATCACATTCCTTGGACTCCTTACATTTACTTTGGCAATCACATAACCTTTTTTCTTTTCAGGGCCCACCGGCCATACCACCGGCCCTGGAGGTTTTTCTACTGCCATTGGAATTTCCTCAGATTCAGACGACGACAACGACGACGACCTTTCCATTGCTACAAGGGTCACAAGGTTCAGGACCCGCAGGGCAGTACTTCCAGATGTTGAAGAAGAACCAAGTGCTGGGGCCGCACCAACTACTGAGGCTGAGCCAGTTGTGGAGGCTGCAAAAAATGAAGTTCCCCCTGCTGTGGAAGTTGTTGTGGGCGGCCTAGTTTCTGAGGGTGCAGAGCCTCCAAACCCCGTTGATTCTGTGCACTCCTACCGTTCCTCTGTCGGCGGAGATGTTTTTTTCCCTAAGACCCCAAGAAAAGACAGCGACATGAGAGAGCCGCTGGAAGTTGCACCACCTCCCTTTAGAGCTGCATCTGGTGGTTCCTCCTAGTCCACTGAGTCTCCATTGGTTCAACAGACCCCACTTCTGAACGCCCAAGTGGCTGAGGAGAGTGCAAGTGTAGCGGCTGCTTCCACTGTTCCTGCTGTGGCCCTTCTAAATTTGGACCGACTTAAAGAGGTAGCTGTCACTTTAGCCACCCACACTGTTATTACTGTCACTGGGACCTCTGACCCAGTTGCTTCGGCAACCTCTGAACAGCTGGCAAACTTGTACCTCACTCACTTTCCGGAAGTGCCAGCTGACCTTGGGGTATCCCAAGATTTTTATACTGGAATGGATACCATTACTGTTCCAGATTTGAACGTTGGAGACTACCAGATGGATGACCTCTTTTCGGAGCGACATGACAGTGCAAGCAGCTTTAGTCTTTCTCGCGAGGCTAGTTCACCCGGTCGCCAACGCTGCATCTACCCATTCCAATGCCGTTGGGCAATCATCTTCAGGGGAAGTGCGTCGTCCTCAGACCTTTAGTTGCTCCACCAGTCTCCCTCCAGTGATTGAAGCTGGCGGGGGTGTGAGGGAGTCCCCTCAGCCCTCAGAGAAAGTTTTTTTTCTAAGTTACTGGGTCTCCTCCGTAGCTGCTCTCACTCTCGTCCCGCATCCAGGCGCTGCACCCCGGCACCTTTCCTGCTTTTAACGTTCCTGGATCTATGGTGCAGACAACATTGTTGGAGTCACTCGTCAGCTTCATTCGTGACCTTGCTACTAAGAAGATTCTGACAACCCCTAGCAAGTTCGTGGAAAGTGTCGAGGCAAACTTGAGCGGCTTTGAGAGAAACGGATTGGACCTATCGTGGATGAGGGATAGGCTTCAAGCAGTTGATGGTTTCCTCGAGAATGCAGACAACGTGGCGATGATTGCGCCCTTGGAGGAGACTATCAAAGAGTGTGAGGGTGCCTTAGAGTAGCATCGGCAGAACCTGGCTCGGTTCGAGGAGAGACTCTGCGTTAGTTGCCCAGCTGCCTAGGGATGTGACCCTGATGGACTCCCTCATGAAGAGTTTGATTTGATTTAGTGTGACTCTGTTATGATTTCCTCCATCTTCTTTTCTTTATTTTGTTGTTTCATTGCACCTGCGGCGCCTTTTCTTTTCTTCTCCTCTGTCACAACTTATTTTCAAACATTATAACCAAGTTCTGGAAGTTCGACTTTAATGAAAAGTGTGGATGGTTTGTAGTACTTTGAATTTCATTTCTTCGCCCTCCTTACATTGCTCTTATATAGTTTTTTTAAAGATAAGCAAAAATTCTTGCAGTGAACAAAACTTCATCATGACTAAGCTTTTGCATGGATAAAATTTCACTAAGTATGGAAAACTTTCCTCACACTAAGTGTATATGAGAGTAACAAGTTTACAAGCCTGTGACACTTTCTTCACACTTTACTTTGGAAGTATTGACAAAGAAACTTACAACTCTTTTTCCTAACAAAAGAAGTTAAGGAAAATATTCTTTGACATACTTGGCATTGATAGGGCCAATTCTGAACCCATCATTTACTCTTGTCAACTTGAAGTACCCGCTGCTACTTGCCGCAGCAACTCTGTATGGGCCTTCCCATCTTGGTGAGAACCTGGGAATTGGTTGCCCACGCATGATTGCGGCCACTGTCTTCCATACCAAGTCCCCTTTATTGAACTTCTTGTGCTGAACAGATTGATTGTAGGCATGAGCTATGGATTGATGATACTTTTCCATTACCCGCAGGGCCCGATCTCTTCTTTCTTCAGCTACTTCTATGTCATTCTTTCTGCTGTCTAGAACTAAGTGTGCTGACATAGCCATTCTTACTGAGGGTACTGCCAACTTAACTGGTAACACAGCTTCGGACCCGTACACTAGGGAAAATGGGGTTGCCTGATTTGGCTTTCTCTTTGACGTTCTATACGCCCAGAGTGCTACGGGGAGTCGTTCAGACCATGTGCCCCCTGCTTCATCCATTATTTTACTCAATATTCGGATGATGGCTTTGTTGGTCACCTCAGCTTGTCCATTCCCTTGGGGGTAGTATGGACTAGAGACTTGTGGTGCTTGATCTGGTAGGCGTTCAGCAGTCTTCTCACATGACGATTTACAAAGGGAGTTCCATTGTCGGACAGCATTACTTTTGGTATGCCAAACCTACAGATTATGCTTTCTCTGATAAAGTTGGCTACTCCTGCCCCGTCTGCCTTCCTCATCGGTATAGCCTCCACCCACTTGGTACTAACGTCAGTTACTGCAATCTGTGGCCTTCCGATTGCTGCATTGTCAAATGCCCAAGTATGGAACAGGTAAAGGGTCTTGATGTTATGCAGCTCAACTGCCGATGCATGTATCAAGTTCCCAAACTTCTGGCAGGATTGGCATCTCCTTACAAATTTTTTAGCATCTTCTTCCATTGTCGGCCAGTAGTAGTCGAGGTGAATAAGATGTCCATATAATAGCTGCCCTCCTTGATGTTCTGTCTTGTGGGCTTCCCTCAGCACCTCATTTGCCTCATCCTTTGGTCAAGGAAATAGCGGAGGGCCCGCCTCTTAACTCTAATTGCATCGGCTTTGTTCTCAGGCAGTGTGCCATTTCCAAGGTAGTCGACATATGGCTGCCTCCATTCTTCACGGCTTAAGAAGTGGGCTTCCTCTTCCTTAGGATGGGATTGACATTTTGCACATTGCCTTTGTAACTCAGTACTTTCCTTTTCCATCTCTGGCCAGTAATACCCTTGCCTTTGTATCCGTCGGTATAGACTGATATCTTCATCTCCACAAGACTTAGCATGGATCTGCTTAAGTCTGTAAGTTGCTTCTTGTCTACCGACGCACCTTGCCAACAAGTTGTTGGCACCGCGAAAATACAACTCTCCTCTGAGGAGCAGAAATTATGCAAGTTCTGCAAGTCTAATTGTTCCCTGGCGTGTTTTTAACTGTTCTGTTGGATTATATCAGCTTTCCATCCCTCAGCATCTTGCTCTGTATATTCTTCGGCTAACACTGCTGGTGTTGTTCTTTTCTCGATGACGATGGCTATACTATCATCTGGTATATCCACCTTTGCCCCCAGTGTAGCCAAGGCATTGGGGAAATGGTTGTGTGTTCGAGGGGTATGCTGGATTTGGACATCATCAAATTGAGTGAGCAACCTTCGAACCACGGTGCGGTACGGGGCCAGCAGAGGCTCCTTTAAGGCGAAATCACCCATTGTTTACCTGACAACTAACTCGGAGTCGCTCCAAATTTTCAACTTGCGGAGGCCCTTCTTTTGGGCAACGATTAGACCCAGTGTCAACGCCTCATATTCAGCCTCGTTGTTTGAACATTCAAAATCAAGCTTATATGATAGATGAAACTTCTCTCCTTCTTCACTGGTTAGTGTTATGCTAGCTCCGCCTTTCCCAGCTCTCGAAGCTCTATCAAATTTTAAGTCCCAATAAGCCTCAACTGCAGCTGCTGAGATATGGACCTCACCTGGTAGAGATACCTCTACAGGTTCATGTTCACCAGATGGGAATTGGGCCAATAAGTCTGCAAGTGCTTGGCTCTTAATAGCCTTGGGAGTAACACAAGTGATGTCATATTCTACTAGAGCCAAAAGTCAACTTGCCATTCTTTCAGTCAGATCGGGTTTGCTTAGCGTGTAGCGGATCGGATCACGTCGGGGTCACAACATGGATCGGGTGTGCCAAAAAATAGTGGCCCAACTTCTGCGTTGTGAAGATTAAGGCTAAACAATGCCTCTCAATTGGGGTATATCGCGACTCGACACCATTGACTTTGCGACTGATGTAATAAATTGGCTTCTCAATGCCATCTATGTCTTGGACAAGTAGAGCCCCAATAGACCGAGGTGTAGAGGTCAGGTACAGTGTTAATAATTTGCTTCAGGACTGCCATGTTGAAATTTTCTTTGATTATTGATTAGTTTCAGTCAATAACTAGAATTTGTTTTTCCAGTCAATAAGTCCTATTCTTTAGGATAATGTTAGTGTTATCAGAAATCTTGGTTGTTACCGTAATTTTTGGGATTAATTATCTTTTCAGTTCAGGTATTCTTTCTATAAATGTAATGCATCAGAATAAATGAAAATTATTCCTCTTTGCTGCATCATATCAGCTTTTCTCATTTCCTGCTTTTATTCTTTCATTTCATTCAATTTCTATTCTTCGTTTTCTCTGTTTTTCTTCTCTTCTCAAAAACTAGCATTCGGTATCAGAGCTTTATTCTTACGGGACCAGTGAGTATCCATGGAAGCAAAAACTGATTTCCCCAATTTTTCTCAAGCTGCTCCACATATTTTTTATGGAGAAAACTACCAACTTTGGGATGTTAGAATGGAAACTTATCTGGAGGCAGCGTTGTTTGCTGGTGTTTCAACAACAATTCTCACGAAGATCATGAATCTCAAATTAGCAAAAGAAATCTGGGAGCATCTGAAGACGGAATATGTAGGAGATGAAAGAATATGAGGAATGCAAGTGCTCAATCTAAGTAGGGGATTTGAGGTGCAAAAGATGAAAGATGCTGAGACAATCAAAGAATATTCAGACAGACTGCTTGGCATTGCCAACAAGGTAAGGCTTCTTGGCACTAAATTTGATGATTCAAGAATTGTTGACAAAATTCTTGTTACGGTGCTTGAAAAATATGAAGCCTCAATAACCACCTTGGAAAATACTAAAGATCTGTCCAAGATCACCTTGGTAGAACTATTGAATGCTTTGCAGGCTCAAGAACAAAGGAGACTTATGAGACAAGAGTGTTCCGTAGAAGGATCCTTGTCAGTCAAACACCAACAGGAAAGTTCTGGGAGTAGTTCAAGCAGTTGCACACGAAACAAAGGTGGAAGCTCAAGGAGAAATTTCCCGCCTTGTGAACACTGTGGCAAAATGGGTCATTCTCCATTCAAGTGTTGGAAGAGGCCTAATGCAAAGTGTAGCAAGTGCAATCAGCTTGGACATGAAGCTGTGATTTGCAAAAGCAAATCTCATAAACCAAAGGAAGAAGTCCATGTAGCTGATCAAGATGAAGAAGATCAGATGTTTGTGGCAACGTGTTTCTCTACAAAGGTCTCCTCAGAAAGTTGGCTCATTGACAGTGATTGTACAAACCATATGACCTTTGACAAAACTCTTTTTAAGGAGTTAAAGGCTACTGCAATGACTAAAGTCAGGATACGGAATGGTGGTTATATCGCTACAAAAGGAAAAGGAACCATTGCAATGACAACCAGTTCAGGTACAAAAACTATTTCAGATGTTCTTTATGTACCCGATATTGATCAAAATCTGCTGAGTGTTGGCCAGTTAATTTAAAAAGGATTTAAGGTGTCCTTTGAAGACTTGTATTGTCACATCTACGATGCCGCTGGAAAGGAGATTTTACGTGTCAAAATGAAAGGGAAAAGCTTCTTATTTGATCCTACGGAGGAGGAGCACACAGCTTATTCCACCAATGTCAACATCACTAAAGTCTGGCACAAAAAGCTTAGGCATTGTCATCTTCAACGAATGCTCAAGATGAAGAAAGATGAAGTGACAAGAGGAATACCAGTTCTGGTTGATCACTTGCCAAATTGTCATGCTTGTCAATTTGGTAAACAAAGTAGGAAACCATTTCCTAAATCATCCTGGAGGGCAACACAGAAGCTGCAACTAGTTCATACAGATGTGGGAGGACCTCAAAGAACACCATCTCTTCAAGGTAGCCGGTATTATATTCTTTTCATTGATGATTTTACAAGAATGTGTTGGATTTATTTCCTAAAGTTCAAGTCTGAAGTTGCTGGAGTATTCTGGAAGTTTAAGAAAATGGTGGAAAATTTAAGCGGTTGCAAAATTCAAATCTTAAGGTCTGATAATGGAAAAGAGTACACTTCTACAGAATTTAACCAGTTTTGTGATGAAACTGGCATAGAACATCAGCTCACTGCTCCTAACACTCCACAGCAAAATGGAGTGAGTGAAAGGAAGAACAGATATGTCATGGAGATGGCTAAATGCATGTTGCATGAGAAGGTGTTGCCAAAAAGTTTCTGGGCAGAGGCAGCCAATACAGCAATATTTTTGCAAAATCGGCTTCCAAGTGTAGCCGTTGAAGACAAAACTCCATTTGAAGCTTGGTATGGGTATATACCTTCACTAAGTTTTCTTAAAGTATTTGGTTGTTTGAGTTTTGTCCATGTTCCACAGGTTAAGAGAGACAAGCTTGACAAAAAAGCAATTCCAGGTATCTTTGTTGGCTATAGCACAATTTCTAAAGCCTACAAAGTATATCATCCTCAAACAAGAAAAATGGTGATAACTAGAGATGTTCACTTCAATGAGGATGAGCAATGGGACTGGGAAAATTCACAAGAAACTAATAGACCTTCAGAAGAATTTAGAAGCAATTCTTTTGAGGAGGAGACAACAGACCAGTGGGAAAATAAATTGGTAGATGATCCACCAGTTAGAGGAACAATAGCACTTTCAGACATCTATCAAAGATGTAATGTAGCATTATGTGAACATGTTGATCATGAAGAAGCTCTTAAAGACCCAAAGTGGAAGAAAGCAATGGAGGAGGAGATGTCAATGATTCACAAAAACAAAACCTGGGAATTAGTTAACAAACCAGACGGCAGAAAGATCATTGGAGTAAAGTGGATGTACCAAACGAAGCTAAATGCTGATAACTCCATCAACAAACACAAAGCAAGGCTCGTCGTCAAAGGCTATGCTCAAATTTTTGGTGTTGATTATTCTGAAACGTTTGCTCCTGGTGCTAGACTAGACACTATCAGGTTGTTGTTAGCCTTATCAGCACAAAAAGGCTGGACAGTGTTTCAGCTAGATGTCAAATCAGCTTTTCTTAATGGTGTTCTACAAAAAGAAATTTATGTGGAACGACCAGAAGGTTTTGTTGTGCAAGGTGAAGAGGATAAGGTCTATTTGCTCAAAAAGGCTCTCTACGGCCTAAAGCAAGCTCCAAAAGCTTGGTACAGCAGGATTGATGAATATTTGCTAAGCTTAGGCTTCACAAAAAGCTTATCTGAAGCTACTCTTTATGTTAAACAAAAGGCTAGTTATGTTCTTATTGTATCTCTTTATGTTGATGACCTTTTGGTAACAGGAGATAATGCACAGATGATTAAGGAGTTTAAACAAGAGATGATGCAGGTCTTTGAGATGACAGATCTTGGTCTTATGACTTACTTTCTTGGCTTGGAGGTCTAGCAAAGCCAAAATGAAGTTTTCATCTGTCAGAAGAAGCATGCAAAGGAAATTTTGAAGAAATTTCAGATGGAGGAGTGCAAAGCAATAAACACACCAATGGGTCAAAAAGAGAAGCTGAGCAAAGAAGATCAGTAAAATTGATGAAGGCTATTACAGAAGTTTGATTATCTTACAGCAACAAGACCTGATAT